TGTACTATAAATTCGTATTAATAGGTATGGCACATGCAGATAAAAGGCGAACAAACAGGACGAATTCAACTACAGTGAAATAGAGGTTTTAATGAAATGAGAGTCGGGACTGAACAAATATTCATTAAACATTAATATTTTTCCACTAAATGCGATTTCACAATACTGCAGTTGAAGGGCAATCCTGATATCAGTTGACATCGATCAGCATATTTTATAAAGTAATGTACAAGATAACTGCAAAGACATCTTCTGATTGACTAACTGACCGACCAACCAACAAAACAGCACGCTGGAACGATCCCACAGTCAAATTACTTGGCGGGCGAAGGAGGTAGAAAGCAGAGAATGGAGAATACTGGAGGAACGTCGACTTGCGATCGTGAAACACCCACCATAACAAGGACAAATCAGAAAACGGATATATACATACTCAAGTCTCGAGAGCATCTGCAATAAAATTTTGCAATAGACTTTCTGGCAATGATCGAGAGAGAGAGATGATAAAACATGTAAAAGAGACAATTTACTCGAGTAAGCCTACTGTTTTTGAATCCATTTGACACTGCCAATGATAGGGTCACAGTTTGCTGGCACAACAGTTTTAGCGTTGATCATTCTAATTAATACAACGAGTATGTGTGAAAGACATGCGCACATGAATATTGAGAGGGGCTGAAAAATCTGCGAAGGGATGTGTTCCGGTAAACACCAACGCCGAGCCAAGTTAGGATATGGTAGATACTAGCTACTGCTGAACAACTATATCAGAAGCAAACTAACACACAGTCAGCTGAGCACAAGTCGAAGGATCACGGGTTTGCATTACGGGTGATTCGCCTTTCATCTATTTAAAGTAAATAAATGAACATCATTATATAGAACAGAAACAGAACAAAAAACCAAATGCAGTGCAACACTGCTGTAAACTTTGCCTTCACAAACGACAAACTCATACCTAATGGATATCGAAACGAACATCACCGCTGCGCCAAACCCATCGATGAAGAAAAAGCGCGCAAATGGCGCTTAACATGGAAGCATAATGGAACCCAGTTAAACGAAACTTACAGATCAGGAAAAACGTCAAGCTGATGTCAAATAAAACAAAAAACTTCTAAAAAATGTCGAGCACAGAATGTCACTTACATCAAAAAACTTTTGAAATGTTACTATCGGCGCTTCCGGGCCATAATAATCCATCTGCTCACGGAAAAAGAAAAACTTAGTGATTCTGGCATCGAGTATATCTGGGTTTAAGCGAGAAATATTCACCAACAGCAAACGTGCAGACGTAGAATCACGACCACGCCAGAAAGCTTTAGTAAACTTGTTCGACCAAGATACATTTCGCATCCCTTGTACGGATAAAAGTTCGAGCGAATGCCTGCGTACAGTACATAAATTATTTATGAATAACACGAGCCTGCAAAAGGGATATATATCTAAAAACAAACGCAAAATAATCTATGCAGAAATATACAGCTCAAAGTTAATTACCAACGCACTAACCGGCCCACCAATCATTCATCCGTTCATGCGCCTTATTTTTTACTCAAAAGGAAATACGAAAACCTTTCATAATGATCGCTTAGAAGATAAACTGGAATCCTCTCTCTCTCTCTCTCAATTCTTTCACAAGGATTTGTGATCAAAAGTATCATTCACTTAGCAAAGTTTTAAATTAATGACATTTTGTCAATTCTCGGCTACTAGCTGCAACTTCTTCGAAATCGACCTTTCAGGGTTCATGGTAGGTCTTGGCGAATCCACATCGAATTTTAAAAATTTGGTAAGCGATTCCCACTTTCAATGGTACTCGCTCTCATCGACGTAGACAAGGAATCTGACTGTTTCTGTGTAGATGCTTTCAGTATGCTCGGTATTAGGCAGACTGCAGTGGCATTTTTTACGATAGAGACCAGCCGTCTAGCTGAGCTATCCCAGACTGCGAAAAATTTATCGAGAGCACCATCTGACGTGAACACCTCAAAACGCGAACTACAAAAATACCTGCCCATCATTTCTATGACAGCTTCGACCAATTCGTATGTAGGCAGTACAATGTCGACTGTATCGTTTGACCTGCACCAACTGAGCATCGGAACGTATCTGCTACTATCGGCGCCTCTAACAAGTTTCTCCAACGGCCAGTCACCAAGGTTAATAAAGAGATCGATATCAGGCAACTGTATCTGCAAAAGAATGGCAATAAATAAATTTCGTGGTGATAACCGGTTTGCCATTTGGCTGACGGCTTAATCACTATAAAAAAGTAATTGTGGCTGCAGTTTTGTTGTTTTCTCTCGCAGTTCCTGAAGATCAATGGCCTGCAACATTTCCATGCAGCTCAAAAACACCGTCACTTTCTGATGCCGCAGTGTCAAAGGCAACATAAATGAAGTTAAACTAATCACCTTAAGCCTGGCAAGCGACTGACATCCGTCAGGAATGATTTGTATTTTTTTATCTGAGTACGAGATTGCTATGGGTGTAACAACTTTCTTATATCGTCGCTTATTCTTTTCGCTTCAGACACAAAAAGTACATGTATGGCCAAATGCCCAGTGGTCTGGCGAAACTGTCCAAAAACTAATGAGTCGGCTCAAAAATTTTCTTTCAATAAATGTGACTGCAAGCTCACGAAACATCATGCAAATCATGGAAACAACACATGCCAGACTCATTCAGGCCAAGAAATATTACTATTTGAGCACTGCTGTAAGATAAATCTGACAAACTATGTGAATACAGTCAAGCAGATCATTTTAAAAAATAAAAGAAATTAAAACAAAAATAAGCTTCCTTGGAATATAATGAATATATGCTGAGTGCTAAAACTAAGTTGTCGACTATGCTCACAAATATCATACGTAATATAGAAATTGATGACGCACCTTTTTTACCAGGAATGAAAAAATTTCATCTGCAAACATTTTGAAACCTACGTGCTTCCCATAGCATCGCCTATAAAGCTGAAATAAACTATTTACATATACCCAACAACTGAATACTACTTTCGGCGAGCGGATTTTATAATGGCAGAAACTGAACGATTCTTCATGCAGACCCCACTTCCGTTGCGCCTGCTCCAAGACCGACAGCAGATCAACGCTACCCACAGGCCAGATCGCCGTATGCTTCAATATCTGATTGGAGAATTCACTGGGACACTGGGCCTTTAGCAGCCACTGATCCATCTTCATGGGACACGCGCATTCGCTGGGTACAATTGGGCCTTCAAAATGCGTATCAGAGTTGAGTGTGAAAAAATGAGTCGCATGTTCGTTTAGAGATAAGCAAAATTTCTTAAAGCACAAAAAAAGAATTAATATGAAATGCCAGGTAAAACTTCAATTACATCAGGGAAAGACTGACCCGGTGATAGTCGGCGTTGCCTCGTAGAAAAATCGACAAGGGACACGAAAATGTCACCGGCGATTTGTGTAGAAAGCACAAAGAGCACATCTGTTAAATAAATGTGGTCATTCATTCGCAATGCCTTCGTACGTGACACCAAGAGCCAACCGTTACAACATCAGAGGTGCTGACTCAAGTGATAGGTTGAAGCCCCAGATTAACTTCTTTTCGACGTTACAGGCAAATGTAGATCCACTCACAAAGGAAAAAATTCAAAACATCTTGCAACGAAAGCGGAGAAGGGTGGCATTATGGACATCTTTTTAATTTTAGAAGAAATGCATAAAGGAATCATGTGTACCAGTAATGTCGAAGGAGAACCAAATGAGTTGTTTCTCATTATCCTTGGAGTCCATCCAAAAAACGTACTTCAACTCATGCTATTCAACACTGTTTCTGAACTTCTTCTTTGAACCAGTGTCAGTCTGTGTACATACGAAGGTCTCATTCTAGACGGAAGACTCAATGCAAGATATATGGCAAAATACCATGCTTACCTGGAATATACATATGAAATTATTTGGTTAAAGTATGAAAAGCGAGTTTTGCCACCTGATGGCTTTTGTTTTACACAGCAGCGAAAGTCAAAAGTTTAGCAACTCATCCAATTTGCCTACTAGTGCAACATGAAGACAAAGTGGCAGAGGGGGTCATTCAGTCTAAGTGGCTCAGCTTGATCGTGTCCAGCAACAAAATTGTCAGTTATAAGCTTTATGCGTTATTGCTT